TATATATATATCTATAGATATAGATATAGATATATATATATATATATATATATGACAGAAAATAAGGAAAGGCATAATAAAGCCAATTTAAAGTTGCACTGGCCCATAAAGATTTTCGGGGACTTTTTATATTAAGACAACAGCAGTGAGAAGACAGAAAGTCGGGGGTGGGGTTGTCACATGCGGCAAATGCAACACAGCAGAAATGCTCCCAGTTTGTACATGGGATGTGCACTGTACCAAGAAAGCTACATGGAATCACGTTCAATAGCAACTTAACTAGCACACACTTTTGGAGAGAGGACATTACTTGCACCAGTTTTTGTAAAACAAATATTTCCCTAAAAGCTTCCAGTGTGTTTTAATATATTCATTCAAGCTTTCTGAAGTCCCCATTTCAACTCTCACGTCTCCCTCCCGCCATCCTCCAGAGTCAATGTAGATAAATCTCTCACATCAACTAAGAAAAAGAAACAGAAGGTCATTTCTGCACAAAAGAAAAGAATACGGCAACACAGTAATCAAGTTTTCTCAAGGGTGTCACGCAGAGTTTGAATACTTTTTCCCCCCATTTTCTAATTATAGTTTGCACATTGCTCTCTGTAGGGGACACTTTATAAGACTTAATCGGTTTTACACCAACTTGCCAACACATTAATTAAGCTGAGCAAACCAAAAGTCTAAATAAATTACAGCAGGAATCATGAGAGGCAGTAAGAATAACTCCATCATTCTGAGTTAGACGCTTAGAAATATTTTTGTTCTGGGATTTGCAGGCTTAAAGGGGAAATCTAAATAACGTCTGCGATGCTATGCTTGGGGTAACATTTGACTTTTTTAATTGAAAGCAAACATGAAATGTCTGTGAGAGCCCACATCGTGATCTTTAAATAAAATATCATCTCCTCTATCAAACACTATTTTTTAACCGCAATTTTTCTTACTGTGAATTTATCTGACATAACATTTCCAAAGAGATGTGGTTATGAGAGTTTAGTGCGTATGCAAGTCTGCAGAAATATAGCTAATGGTTCGGGGTTAGAGAGAGCTAGCAGAAGCCATAGAAAGCCACTCCCCTTGTCACTCCAATCCAGAAGGGTCACATTGTTTGGGCAGCTGCCCCCCAGCAGATGATGATTAGAAGAGAAAGAAGGGCGAAACACGTCCCTGTGCTGCTTGTCTGGTTTAGAAAGATACGGATTGTTGCGGCTAAGCCTGGTGCACAAAATGAAAAAACATCCACAGAAATCCTAATCATCTGGCAGAATAAAAAGTAAATTCTCTTTTGTCTGCTGGGCTTCTGTGCTATTAGCCGAACAGGCCAAGAAATAAGATCAAAACAAATTATGTGACCAACACACTAAGTCCCCATTTCACTGATAAATAAGGCATTTAAGCTTTCCCTCTCATCTCCTCCTCAAAGGCCATGAGTGTTTCAGCTTTCATGTAATACAAATGCCTCTGTGTAAAGGCTAGCACTTCATTTATGCCTTTTCAAGCTAACATCATGAAGAAAGCACTGTTCTGTCCAATTTGAGAAACGGGTACTCAAACAAACTCGCCTGTAGCTACAGGCTCAGAGAGTAGGGTCGTTTGGCCCTGATCGCATTTTCTATTTCTGAGATATCTAGGACATAAAACACATGATACCCTAACATCACTTATAAATATTTAAATAATCACCAATTAAAATGAGTAAAAAACAATCAAGACAGGTGATGGAGAGAATAAGCAATGCAAACTAATATGGTGGGCTCTTTAATTACACGCTGTAGACTAATTTAGAGTAAACTTGGTACAGTTATTAATTTTATGCCCCCGACTCAGGTCACATAAGAGGCAATGAAATTCAAATTAGTTTTAGAAATAGAAACAAACAAACTTTTTAAAAATAACAAAAGATTTTTTTCAATCCGTTATAGGTGAGATGCACGGTATCAGGAAGCTATTTTTGGCTGCTCCCTTGCCACTAGGGGTCACCGCAGCAGGTAGCTCCACCTGTTTGATTTGGCAGAGTTTGATGCAAGACGGCCATCCTGACATAAACCCCACAGGGATTTGTGTCTCTGGCTGGAATCGACCGAGCGACCTTTCACTTGTCAAGCGAAAGGTCGCTGGCAGCTGGAAAACTGCAGTAGCATTCAGTAAAGGTATTCAGGGTGTCCCACTTTATCACTTGTTGTTCACAAAGAGCCAATCAAGAGCTGAACCATATGAGCAAATCTACTCATTATATGATGTAAGTAAGTGTAATTAAATCTAAGTGTAAGTAAAGCTGCAATGTTATCGAACCTTGCATAAGTATAGCAGAAGTTTACCTGCAATGGGCAAGAGGTGTTTTAAACCTCATTTTGGGCCAAAGTAACTAAAATCTTTTCTTGGAATTAAACTTAGGGAATTCTCCCCATTCATTTAGATAGCCTTGGTCCTGTTTACATGAAATAACTGCCTGAAGAGGTTATCAAGATGGCTGCTGAGTGTCTTCTGCTTCTAGAGTGGCATCTTTGCAAACCTTGGTCATGTCATTAGCAAACACTGTTACCGCACAGCATGCAGCCTCCTCAGCTTACATGCTGCTGTGCATAATGAACTTAACCCTTTAAAGCGGGTCAGAGCGGGCACGCTCCATTTTGCTTAACTATTTTTAAATCCCGGTAGCACTGCAACCACGTAAGCAAGCGCAATAATTGTTTTTGCATATGAAACCGGAGGAGTTGTACTTACATCTTATGCCATCAGCTTGTCCTAGGTCACAGTTTCCTTCCATGTACAGCTTTGCAAAAAACTGCA